TCAAGTAACACTACCAGCAGTGCCACACCCCAAGTCAGACAGGGAGGAAATGTGTTCCTACAGGGTTCAGAAGTGATGTCTGATGCCCATGGAGCAGCCTTGGACCAGAACATACCCTGTAGTCTCGCAGGCCCCACACCAGCCAATCAAGGACGAAATTGTGGGCAATTATATTGGCCATTTCTGTTTCTTTTGGTGGAAATTGCAGGGTGTGAGTGATACCTGCCCAGTCTGGGGTCAGCAGTCTGGCTGCAGGTCATTGCTGTGCAAGTGCCACGAGCCAGCAGAAGACAGACGATGGGGAAGAATTACTTAATCTGCCACGTCCTCTCCTGCTTCTTGCATTACCCAGGGTGGCAGTAGCTGCTTGTGCTCAGTGGAGTTCAGCCACCTCTGTCCAATTCATGCACTAAAAAAATGGCCCAGTATAAAAAAGCAGCTTTGCATGGGCCACGCTGAGATGGCCAAAGGCTGGACTACTTGGTGGCTTGTATTTCAATATTAACTCTTCATTCGATTCTGCCAGTGCTGTGCAGAACAACACCTTACTTCTCCCTCTCCCTTACTTTTTAACCATTTTAAAATACCTTAAGTTTCTAGTTTTTCTTCTGAAATGTGAATTAACAAGTTCTATTAACACATTGCTTGTTTTGGTTAGAGTATTCCCAGCTGACATGTGTTTTGTTCACTGCAAACAAACACCGAAAGGAATCAGGAGCTCTAGGGAAGGGCTATATCAGTTGTACCTGCAGTTCTTCTGCAGTCTTGGGACTACCTTTAACACCTGTCATTAATTAATTCTTCTGCAGAGAACTCTTGAACTAGAGTATATCACATTCAAGTTTTTTCTTGTGTGTATTTTGACTTTTTCTGTCACACCTTTTTCTATTCCTCTGCTGCATCACTAAATTACAAAAACTGCACTTTGAGGTCACATTCAGGAAAAAAAGTTTGGACAGAAAAAAATTATGAGAGGGAATGTTTTGAAGATGATGAACTGTTGGGATTTTTTGCTTTATTATGATACTATTAATTTCTAATTTCTAATTTTACATAAATGGGAAAAAAATGAGATAATAAGAGGATAACACAATCAATAAATTGAAAGAAAAACATGTTTGGGGGGTATTAAGACAAACCTAGACAGAAACAAGTATATGAGTTGTTAATTCAAAGTTAACAGATAATATTTTTGAATTTATTAATTCTTTTTATTAATTTCCTGAACTAAAATACCATTTTTTTACTCTTTCTCTAATCCATAATTTCCTCGATTTTAAACACTCAGCTGACTAATTTGGACAAAGATATTACAGATGGGGACAACACCAGTGAGTTCTTTTCTCTCCCTCTTCAATTCTAGTTTTAACACAGTTTAAGCTGCCACAGTTAACTTATAGAGGTATTACTTCTAAAACTGCCTGTATAGGTGTGTCCTATATAAATACTTGAATGAACAGAACACAGACCAATGTAACCAAGAGCAGGAAAACATAGAAACAAAAGTTACGTGAAAATGAGATGCAGCATGTAAAACAATTTCTTGTGACTGCTGTGAATGAGAATTTTCCATAGCTACAAAGCTGAAGGCCAAATGCTGCTATTTGTGTAAGAAATCGGAATTAAAAACACATACTACACTCTGTGGAGACCTCCTGGATGCCTGGAGGTGGGGTGCACTACACCTAGCAGAATTTTAAGCTGGACCTGGTGAGTATTTACTCTACAAACATTTCTGCCACTCTGCAGTAATGGTAAAACGCTCGTATATGATACACTGATTTCTTCTAAGATGATCACTTCTCACTGCTACAAGGAAGAGGAAAAGTCTACACTATGAGTTATGCAGCTGTAATAGACATGAGGGAAGATACAAGGTTTAGGTTCTCTAGCCCAGTGTAGGTCATGTCAGTAAGCCCATAGCCGTCTTATACTATTATACTCTATTTAGGGATCTCTGACTGACTCTTTTGGAAGCAGTGAGGAAGAATTTCACAGCAAAGGGACACTGATGATGGCCCTCTGAGAAAGCCCATAATCCTTTGAAACTGTCTTGTTCTATTTTAAGGAACTCAGAAGTTACTTAGAGGAATTTAGATCTTAGAGATTACGTGCATGTCTTCACTGCACAACAAACCATATCAGACAGAACACTTTTGCTGCTATATTTTTTGTGTGTTTTTCTGTGAATTACTAGGCTGCACAGTACATTCAACAAAAGTTCAGCTTGAGACTATATCCAGCAATTTTTTCTGTAGGAGAAAGTATAAAGAGAAGGAACATTTTGAGTATGATTGGCATTTTTTATTTTATAATAATATTATTACTTTTGAAGTTGGTACATGTGAAAAAGCTCTTCTTGTTCCAAAGTATAAAGATCTACACTGTCACTATTTGAGGCTTCTCTTAACTGTGAACTGGTCTCTTTTCCCATGACCAGGTAAAAAGAGAGGGGAAAAAATGCAAAGTGATTTCAACAAGTAATGTGTGCAGGAAGGGTAAGTGAGATTGTTTTGTTACACATTGTTTCATTTGAGGATGATGATAATCACTTCAGAAGCATCACACTAGCTCGCTTGCTAGGCAGGGTAAGTATCTTGACAAGGACGTGATTTTACTGGAAATTTGCGTGACAAACTCTTTGGATGAGAATTATACTTATTGCATATAAAATAAAGAAAGAATGAAAACTAACGAAAATGTCAGAACACCAAGGACAATAAACCTTTGTTCATATAAAGAGCTATCCAAAAGTCTCTGATGATCTTAATATAAATGTTTGGTTATTAAATGTGAAAATAGGAAAAGGAGAAACAAATCTCTTTGAAGTTTTACAGCAATTCTCCAACTAAATAAAGTATTTCAGAGAACTATGCCAAATTTATACCTTTCTGCACTGGGGTTTTTAGTAGTGTGGAAATATCTTAAACTGTTGCTGAAGCAAAACTGAAAAAGAAAATAATCTTGTTCTTGCAGGAGTTCTTAAATACCTGTAGTAATACCTGCTACTCATGTCCTTACATAAACCAGTATAATATGGAAATTGATGCTGACTTCAGTTTTCTCTCGTATTAAAAATTCATTTCAGAAAATTGCCTCAGACTTCAGTACACAGTGAAGTGAAAACATCATGAGGAAAGGGAAGGCAGCTGGGCAGCAGGCAGCTTCTTAAATGATGAAGAGGAAGGACAGCGATCATCTTGGAGAGCTGTGCAAAACTAATTGCAGGGCAAGGAAGAAAAAGACAAGCTCTGAGAGATATACCTTCAGAGTCCCTTAGGGAGCTGGTATGAGCTTGCCCTGACTGAGCAGGAGCCAAGCGTGGAGGATCTGAGCACCAGGGAAAATTTCATGGAGAAACGAGAAGCTTGTTTTAAAACCCCGTATCCTGTCTAAGATGAAAAATCCAGGACTTCTCTGAGTGATATTTGTAATATCTATATTTAAACAAGCTGTTCCACTGCATCAAAAAAATAGCACAAAGTCATCCAGGGGTGAAGGTCTCTGTACTCACCTCTTCTACCAGCTTATACTGTGGGATAGAAATGGAGACTGCTGGGGGGGAAGCAAGGAAAATCAAGAGGTACCTGATCTACATTTTTCTGAAGTGAAGCCCACAGTTTCGGAAAGACCGAAGCTCAGGCGAAAGCAAGGGAGGCCTCCATAGGGTGAGGGTCACTGATGCCCCAGAATGAACTGTCAGTAGCTGCATCTTCTTGCAGGAACACCTGAAGAAAGAAAATTCACAGCAAAGTATGACATAAATCTTCAGAGATTCAAGAGCAGCTGAGCATGTGTGCATTTAAACTTCCCAGAAAACGGCAGTTCTTGCCAAATACACAACAGTCTCTCTATGCCCCTAAGGTGTACTGGACACCTATAGGGACTCTCTCTCCTAGTTTATATAACATCTTACACTTTCCATGCAGGCAGTAGACATGTACTCAGAAAAGGATTTCAGCACACTGCAGTACAGCTCCCTCTCTACAAAATAAGATATATTGCTGTAAGTATTCCTGATTTAAAAGTTTATGCTTTGCTGCTACTGGGAAGGATGGGAAAGGTGGGAATAATTTCTAGCTATGACAGTAGTCATTTCAAAAACAAAAGTACATATAGAAATGCAGAATATATTTAAATGTAGTTGTCTTACTGTTAAAAATCATACTGTTCAGTTATCTGATTTATTAAAAAAGACTGTTGGAATAATCCATTATAATCTATTAATATAATATGTTTCTTACAGTTCAAACTAAAAACTAAATAACTTCAAATCTGAATAGCAATTTCATAAGTAAAAAGCAAGATCAATCTTTGGGGTGTATAACAATATTTCTGTTTGCCTTACTGAATTTTTATGTCATCGATACAATGCATATCCATATATATCTTCATAGCTAGAACACTATAAAATGAGTAACTTGCCCTGGGGGGCGTTTGCTTTGCAATCATGTATTACTCATTTTAGGATAATCACTTTACAGCTTCTACTTAATAAAAAGAATCATAACCAAACTGGAACTTCATTTCCAGGGAAATCCACAAGAACTACTGTACCATTTTACCAGAGTCAGCTTTCAAATCCCTTAAGGAGCTTTGGCTTGCAGCACTTGTTACTGAGCACTGGTTCTCCTTCTGAAGCAGACCTTCTCTTTATTGCCTACTTGCCCACACACCTCTGGATTTGCTGCATTTCTTGTCCTACTCATGATATTGGCTGAAAGAAAACCAAAATATAGTATAAAAAGTGATGCGACAAAAATTGAATACACTGATCTGGAGCTGCTTTAATCCAACAGAAATACAAAGCAGATAAATCAGGCTCATGTTTTCACCTGAAATACAGAAAGTGTCTGGTGGCTTTAATTTGATTAAAAGACATCTCTCCTTCTAACCTGCCTTTTTATTACCTGTTCTTCAGGGCACCTCTGCTGGAAGGTGAATCCTTTTCCAGGCTTGTGGCAGAGCCAGGGGAGGCCGTGGGACCTGGGCAGGCTGACATGAGTTCAGCCCAGGGCACCAGTGCTGAGGAGGGGACACTCATCACTTTGTGTTACGAGGCGAACGACTCCTGCTACAGGACCTTACACCCCTTCGGCATCCAGGTGGCCATGTATCTGGCCTGTGCCTTGGGCATGCTGATCACGGTGCTGGGGAACCTGCTTGTTGTTGTCATCATTTTCCATTTCAAAGCCCTGCACACCCCCACCAACCTCCTGCTCCTCTCCTTGGCCCTTGCCGACCTCCTCCTGGGGGTGACCGTGCTGCCCTTCAGCACCATCCGGTCCGTAGAGGGCTGCTGGTATTTTGGAGATGACTTCTGTATGCTGCACACCTTTCTGGACACACTCTTTTGCTTGACCTCCATATTCCATCTGTGTTTCATTTCCATTGATCGGCACTGCGCCATCTGTGACCCTTTGCTCTACCCCATCAAGTTCACCATAAGAGTGGCCTACATTTACATTGGGGTGGGGTGGGCAGTACCCATGGCTTATACCTCTGTCTTTCTCTACCCTAAAGTGATTGCAGAAGGACAGGGTCATTTTCTGCGGGATGTGCTCTGTCTTGGTAGTTGTCAACCACTGTTCAACAAGATTTGGGGGTGGTTAAACTTTCCAGTATTCTTCTTCCCTTGCCTTGTAATGATAGTTTTGTACATAAAAATATTTGCTGTGGCTAACAAGCAAGCCAGGCTGATAAACAACACGTGTAGGAGTATCAGGTCTCAGCCACCCATAGGAGCATCCAAGAGTGAAAGGAAAGCAGCAAAAACTCTTGGGATAGCTGTAGGAGTCTACCTCCTGTGCTGGTTGCCCTTTACTATTGACACCATGGTTAACAGTATTCTGGATTTCATTACCCCCCCGGTCCTGTTTAACATCCTAGTTTGGTTCGCTTACTTCAATTCTGCCTGCAATCCGTTGATCTATGTATTTTCCTACCGCTGGTTCAGGAAAGCTGTGAAACTAGTCATAACTCATGGGATCTTTTGTTCCAGGACATCTACAGTAGACTTGTATCAGGAATGACCACAGCCTTCAAGAGCACTGTATAAAATATTGTAAGCTGTATCATTTCTCATTAATATTCTTCAACATCCACATAGCTCCTATTTGTCTTCTTATTTTCTAATTTTTTTAAACAGCTGGCTTGGGCACATTCCCAGTTTAAATAGATATACCATTCTGTGACTCAACACAGTTGTTTCCACAACTTTTTTCCCAGGACACACTCTTTAATGTGTGTTTGTTATGTGATGCCGACAAGCATTTGAAAATTGCCTGTAACTGACTTGGAAAGAAGACTCTGTCCACACTGTTCCTCAGGTATGATGAAATAGTTGCTCCCTGCTTCTGAAAAGAATTTCTTCACAGACAATTGTCTAATTTTCACACAAAGGAGATGATGCTTTACAACGTTATGCAGAATGTGTATCAGTTTTTAAATAGAAAAAAACATAAGGATGCAACTACAGGTGAGATCAAATATCTACCTAAGCTAGTGGCCAACAGTAGAGGAGAGAAATGTCATATCAATATTTTTTAGATTATTTTTCTAGCCCACAGGGATATACGCCTAAGCCAAAGGCTACATATGGGAGATACTATGCTGAATTCCTCAGTAGTATTTATTGAAATCTGTGGAATCTTTGCCTGTTTGATTTGTGTGTACAAGGGGCTGCTCCACACCTTTGAACAGCCTTTCTGTCTTGCTCTGTATCTTTTTTATTCCTACTCCATAAAAGGAGTTAGAAACAAAGGGAAGAGGGAGGGCAGTAACAGCACTGATTACTCCAACTCCAGATATCCATAGGTGTTGCAATGTTTTATATTTTGTTCTTTTGTTTTCCTTTCTCTGACAATCCTGAGGTTCCATATACTCTTCTGTTTGCTTGTTTCCAAAGAAATTAGTAGGTCTGCTTACAGACACAACATATGCTTACGTACTTGGGATGAGTGAAAAATCTTAGTGTACATTCTCAGTTTTCTTCACCTACGCTTACATGCTTTCACAAGGCCAATTTTAAAACTGTAGATCCTGCTAAGTTGAGATCTCTGTTCAGCAAAAAGCTGTAGAGTAAAATTTTGTACTATTCATAATGGAGTTAATTTCTACCTCACTATTATGAACGTTTTATCAGGAAAATTAGATGTAGTAACTCTTCTATACAGAATTAACGAGCAGCCACATAACAACTCTAATAATTTTGTCTTCTTTTTCTGCTAACAGTATGTAAAATTACTATTAGGCTTGAAGGTTACTCAAATTTTTAGTGCCTTCTAAAAAAAGTCATTCTGTCCTATAGTAAGCTGCATATTTTCTGGCTGACAAACAGTAAAAGAACAAATAGCTACAGAAAGCACGTAACTAGCAGTAAAATATCAGCAGACGTCCCATAGCCTACTGAAAAGAGAGGTCAATTTTTCACTACATGCAGCAGGCAATTGAATTAGGCTCTACATGGGTAAAAACAAAAGAAAAGAATTGCACAGCAAATATTCTGTAGGAAACAAGTGCAACACAGTGATTGTTATAGCAGCTGCATATTTTAACGCATGCAATAGTAGTAACCCTTTTCCCTCTTTTTATCCTATTGTTATGGTTTTTGCAGAGCAAGAATAGCTTCTTCTACTAGTACAAACGTGCTGCAGCTTTGAGATGTTGTAATCTATTCTGACGTTTGTTTATCTCAAATCCTTTTTGATTTTGTCTATAAACTTAAAGCCCTGGTCAGAAAAAATATTTAAAGCTAAAGCTTGTGTTTGGAGGAAGGAGAAGAGAAAGAGGACTTGTGTGTCTGATATCTCTGCAGTTTGCTATGTCAGTCTTCATTGTTTCTTACAACAGAAGCCAAGGCTTCTTCTACCGTACCTCTGTTTATTCATGCTGTAGCTGGAGGTAAAACTTGATCCCTACTGCATACAGCTGTAGATTTTCTGTAATGCAAGTACCAACTCCAAGGGACCAGGCTAAAGAGCAAAAGGCAGAATCAGTATCTCAGAAAAATGCAGGTGCCAGACTACCATAGACAAGTGTAGGAAAGCTGTGGTACATCCTGAAAGACCTAGACTGAGGGACGAGTTTCAAGATTAAGATTCTTTAATGTGTACAGGGAGGTGTTTATAATTATGTGTAAGCACTGATTATAGCTACAGCCAGAATGGCTGTTTGAGATCAGGGTGTAGCCAGTGGATATTTAGAGGATATGAATTATTTGCCCCTTGCCACCTAAGGTGGCTGGAGATGACTACATGGGGCTAACATTCAGCACCAATGAAGCAGCAGCTGAGAGCCAGGTGGCACACGTCTGGGCATCTAAAATGGCACTAGATAACCCATCTGTGGGACACCTAGCTTAAGAAGTTTATACATTTAGCTAAGTTTCAAACTGAGTCATATCCTAGGGGCATCTTAACATCTTTCATTGATACCTTTTGCTCCAAACTCACTGCAGCCAAAGCAGTAGAGAAAAGGAACTTCTACTGAGTTTCTGTTTGTCCTTTGAGGTGTTTTTTACCAGTCCTCGACAGATTAGAAAGAGTATATGCTCTGAATGTGTTCAACTGACAGCTTCTTTTTTGAGTCCCATTGCATAATCTGACTTTATAGTTTTGTTTTCTTGTATGGAAGTGGATGACCCTTATTCCCCAGTGGGTTACCACTGTCTATGATGCTGTGTAAGGACTATGCCATAAGACCATGTGCTTGTTGCTCGATCTCCTTTTTGTCTAAACAGCAGACTGGAATAATGAGAAGAAGGAAAGCAGAACCTAGAGTACTGATGTGGACAGTGACAGGAGCAGAAAAAAACAAGTGAGAAGAAAAGCTGCTAAAACTCTGGGAGAAGCCAGGATCACTTTCCCAATTTTCTGATACTGCATTTCACAACTATTGTTATATGATGTTTCACTCATCTTTATAACTCCCCTTCTGTCTCCTTGCCTTTGATGACTATTTGCCATCAGGATCCCTTTGTGCGTTTTTTTTTTCTTCTGCATGGTTTCAAAAAGCAATGAAGGCAATTTTGAATTGTAAAATGAGGAGGAAGAGGAGACAATGAAGATTGTTTGTTCAACAATCACCTCATTTTCCAAATGAAAATCTATCGGATTCTGTCAGAGCTAGTTGCTGACCTCAAACTCCATAGATTTTCTTATTTTTAATATCTTTCCTTCTGTAGACTTGTATTTCTTCATCCGAACAAAATATTGCCAGTTTATTTTATGCCCTTTTTTACTCTTTATAGCTCTTCATAATTTCAAAGTCATCTGGCTGAAGTTAGAAAGATTATGTATTTGAAGATAATACTCAATTAAAGACTGTACTTTAAAATAATAACATCAGCTCATTTCACTAGTGCACTGTTTATTTAAAACATATGCTATGAGGTTAACTACTGCTGCTGCAAAAGGTCAGTACAGATTTTTTTTAAAACAAATATAGGATTTACAGGCCATTCTGCAATATAATTAACTCATAAACTTGTTCAGGCTGGAAACCGACCATAATCCATTATAATTTTGTACAGCATCAGGCATAATAGGAACCTAATCTCATTTCAGGTTCTGAAGAGGATGTTTTATTTAAATTACCAAGCAGAGATGATGACAGGGATTCTTGCTGATAGTGGAATGCATCAGTAACAACCATTTGGGAAGCTGTACCAGGCAACTTGCCATCAGTTCCAAATGCTGGCAGTGTTGTTTTCTCTACCTAAGGTTAGAGACGTGCAAATGAAATGTGATAGCAGAGAATGAAACTTGCCCATAAGGTAAATTACGCACCACTTAGGTACGGCTCACACCTTGGAAAGAGGACACTCATCAGGAATATGAGGACAGGGCTGGGCTGCTTCCCCTTCATTTCATCACGCATTGTGCAGGTATGGAGAGCTGCACGGAAATGAGTCCCTTGTTCCTGCGTCACTGACAGCCATGAAACTTGTGTCACCCATCTTTCTGGGCTGGTGTGCCTGTGGGCTAGTGCCAGGGCAGGAGCAGGAGGCGGGAGGCAGAAGTACAGAATCAGGAAGGTGTGGCAGATTGGGATACTGGGCTAGGAGGAAGGCATGCTCTTTCTTTTCTTTTAATGGCACATATTTGAAGTCAGATAGCAGAAGATATGGGTTTTTTCTGAAGAAAAACTGACAGTGAGCTCAGCTGAAGCTTTATGAAGTAAAAGTGATGGGGCTTAATCAATAGAGTTTATATGACAAACATTTGGAGACAAAAATCAAGGCGAAGACTTAATTCAATAGGGACGTGCATTGTACAGTCTAAAATGATCATCTTAGGTCAGCTTCAGCATGTCAACAGCACGGGGGCAAACACATATGCATGCAGTAGTGCTAGAAATCTTTGCCAACCTTAATGATTCTATGATTCTCTAAAAGCATTGCTAATCAAAATAGCCTAACAAAGCTACAACAAAGCTGTATACAGCACTCCTGCAGCAGATAGGCATGGGGTTTTTTTCCCTTAGCAACTTTAACTCATGAAGGTGAGAAAAGGACATTTCCCAGCATCAATTAACATAGGAACTACATATAGGCATGTAAGACTCCGAAGCTGTGTTGTCTCTCTTTCTGGTGTGCTATGAGACACATCAAGAACCACCTATATAAAGGGTAGTCTTGTCTGTTTCATGCCTTTAACTTCTATTACCTGAAGTTAACTTCAATTAACTGTGTTGGCAGTTTATTGGACTTTTGTATCCATGTTATTTGCTTAGGATGTTACTAAGGTTTCCACTGCTTTGGTTATTTCTAAATCTCAGCGACAACCGAGCTCGAGCACATAGCAGGAATAAACTTGTCCTTCCCAGCTTCTGCAACCTCGTTCCCAGCCTTCGGACGGTGCCGTGAGCCGCTCGGTACCCTGCAGGGGAAGCTGCCCAACCCCGGCGCTCTGGGGAAGCATCTGCTTCGGTAATTTTCCCTTTGAAGACCGGGGAAGGGTGCAGAAGAGCCTCAGCTACCACGCAGGTGGCCTCGGGGACTGACCCGCGGCCTCCTCTCCTGTAGCGAGGT